AGTGATTGGATAACAAGGTGCTTTTGTGTTTGATCAGCCCAAATGTTAGCATCTTGAAAATCGTTCCTGTAGCCACTGAGTTTCTCAAGTATGCTACAATATTCTACTCTGTATAGTGTAACAACGACAAAATAACATTAAAAGTATTCGAAACTCCAATATTATTCTGAATCCATGAACAACAGGAAAAATAACCTCAAATACTTCAAATCACGGAATACTTACATATATCAATTTTTCTGTCAACTAAATGCAGTTCTATACGAATAAGAAGAACAGTTTATCTCATTAAGATATATTAAATATTTGGGGCATAAAAGAGAATAGAGAATGTAACAATGAGGAAAATCAAATTACTAGATACCTAATATAAACAGCTTAATTAAAACAATAGCTTTCCTGACCTAGTTTGCATAATCCTTTAATGTCTGTGTTAAAGAAGAATGACAAAATTTATTTTTAAAAATATTTTTTTCTTGATTTCTACTTAGTCTCATCTAGCTATTAATTTGGCTAAACCTTAATTAGTAAGATAACTTGTAGGGACAGCAACTTTTCTCTATGATAATAAATAGAAAAAGAGACAATATACATAGAAAAAAATAAAGTGGAGTATTTGAAGAAACAATTTTAAATTTTTATTGTGATATATATATATTTTTTTGTTAAAAGTGATTATCAAAATTGCATTTGAAAATCATAAAAAACATGTTTTTACTGTAAGTTGCAGATAAAAAGATCATTTTCTAGACTTACTAAAGCACGTGGAATAGAAAAATTATGTCAGTAATTTCAATTAGTCAATTTTTACATTTGACTTATAACTACTTCTGAACAAAAGAAATCTACAACTAAAAATAAAAGTAAGGATCAGAGCAGAAATTACAGAGAAGAATACATCTCCCCTAGAGAAAAATCTTAGAAATTGCCTGTGAAATACTGCAGAAACAAAGACAATTGGTTATTGTCCTAGGCAATAAATTGGAATTGGCATTAGATTTTAGGGTATTCCCACAGGAAAGTACCTTACTGATTTCCTCCCAACCCCCAATCCTTGATCCAGTATAGTTGAGCTCAGTATTATGCAATATCTGCTTACTTTGGCTTCAAGTTCCACAGCAAAAAAGAAAGACAAACCTTTATAGGAGTCATCATAAATGTTAAGGAAGGAAATGTTCAATGCATGGATGTATTTGATAATCTACACAAAAAGCTGACTGATAACAGGAGGGAGTAGGCCACTACGAATTAGTAAAAGATCTATGTTAGTCAGTATTTAAAAGTAAAAGCAGTTTAGTTGGTTTGAAAGTATAGAAAAATATGACCTAATTGCCTAGAAAATGTTTTTAAAGTAGATATTGCACTTTAATATTAGGTGAGGCTCACCTATACATTAATTTTATATATGCAAATGATGCTACTTATATTCTTAAAATTAATTTAGCTCCTTAAGTAAACCAACAACAACAAAAATCTCATATTTACAGAGTTAATAAACCTAGTAAATAATTCTCTTCAGTCCATGAGAAAATCGAGGACGTCTGAAGTGGACCAAATTCTAAATTACCTATGATTTAAGTGAGAATGAGGAAATTATGAGGAGTATACAACATAATATTAGTCTAAATATTTAAAATACTAATTTTGAGTAAATGCTGTTTTTGAGACCCTATGAATTTTCAAAATACAAAAATTAAAAAATAATAATTTATAGTTATTAAAGTTGTGCATCTAATGAATATAATTAGTAGGTATCGTGTTTTTCAAATTAAAAGATCTTCTATATTTACGTTTTCATAGTAGTAGAGAATAATTCTGAAAGAAAGATGAAAATGAAAATGTTTAATTAGGTTAAATAACAGAAATTTTGATCCATTATTTTTGCTGATTTAAACAAGCTATTTGCTGGCAAAATGTGTTCATTAAATTCCTTGGAAATGGAATTAATGAAAAAGATTCCAATTATGCACCTGCCTTGGCAGAAGCAGTGCTATGATCAGTTAAGAAAATCTATCGGGACATGTTAGGAGAGTACTACCTATTTGCTGGCCCTGGGCTAGGATTTAAGAAAGCACCCCAAATTTTAAGACTTTACTTATTTACCTTGAATAAAAATACACGTATAAATATACCACATTTGAAATACTATTAAAATGTGGTACTTAAATTCATCTCAAGATTTTTACTTGCAATTTGGTGTTACACTGGCAGAAATGTGAACAGGGTTGATTCTAGTTGATTCTTTAGATCAAGAGATTTAATATTTAAAATGCTTCAAATTCCAATGGAAAAAAAGTGAGACTAACACACATATTATTATCTCAAAAGAAAAAGATAAAAATAATCAGAATTAAAGGATCAGAATTAAATTACTAGGCATAAACTAAACATATGATTAAAAGAAACATTTTTCAGTCCTATGGAGATTAATTCCAGGACAATTACTCAATACATCCAGGAAAAGCAAATTGGAGGTAAGGAGAGGGAGGGGAAAAATATCTTGAACTGAATGGAAATAAATACATCAAATATATGGGATGCAGCAGAAGGAGTGTTTAAAAATAAATTTATAGATTTAAATATCTGTATTAGAAAGAGATAAACACAATAATCTAAGCTTCTACCTCAAGAAGCTAAAATACCGAAGCAAATCAAATCCAAAGTAAGACAAAGGAAATAAGGTAGAAGAAGAAATCAATAAAATAGAAAATAGAGAAAAATCAATAAAAGGTACATCTTTGAAAAAAATAAACAAAATCACTAAACTACTAGCTAGACTGAAAATAAAAACACACAAATAGCCAACTTCAGGCATGAAAGAGACAGCACTACAAATGTGATTGATATTAAAAGGATACTAAAGTTAATAGACCCTATATGTGTGGATTAATTTTGGGGCTTTCTATTATGTTCCATTGATCATTTTAATGCCAGTACCATGCTGTTTTAATTACTACAGCTTTGTAGTATAGTTTAAAATCAGGGAGTATGATATCTTCACCTTTGTTCTTTCTCAAAACTGCTTTGGCTAGTTGGGGTCCTCTGTGGTTCCATAAAAATTTTAGAATTCTTGTCTATAGCCATGCTATCCTGAAGAAGCCTGATCCTGTCTGATTTTGGAAGCTGGGTTGGGCCTGGTTAGTACTTGGATAGGAGACCACCTAGGGAAGACCAGGTGCTGTAGGCGTAAAAAATAAAAAACTAAGGGATTGTAAACTGACAAGATCCTTGCGATCTGTGAGGTCAACTAAGGGTTACCTAAAAATAAATAAATAAAAATAAAATAAAAACAATTTTAGGATTCTTTGCTCTAGTTCTGTGAAAAAAATGCCATTGATATTTTGATGGGGATTTCAGTAAATCTGTAGATTGCTTTGGGGATTATGGGCATTTTAACAATATTTATTTTTCCAATCCATGAGAATGATATATCTTTCTATTTAT